ACTATATTCACAAGCTTTTAAGAACTAAACACAGTGCTCACAATCACCATAAAAGCAAAAGAGAGAAAAACACTCATAATAATGCACGCAATTAACTGTGAAGAATTCCCAAGAAATGCCTGTGTTCTCAACTACAGTGAAGTACAGGTAATTATTACCAAGGTTACAAATATTGCTCCATGGTGAGAAACACTGAAAATGTACATTTTCATAAGAATTGGATATCCATTATTGAGAAAGCATTCTTGGACAGAAAGAATTGTAGTTTGTTAAATATATCCAAATTATTAATAAATGTTTAATTTCATTTTTGATACATGCTGTTGAAAAGTATAATAGCATAACTTTTTGCCAGAAAAAAGGATCCTTCAATGGTAAGGGTATGAGTGGGACTCAAGAAATACAACCAGGGCACATCATAAACCTAAAAAATGTACTGAGAGAGCATTCCTTAAAGATTCTCATTGCTTGAATTTTCATGTTCTCTAGACCCATAGGATACCTTATTTTGCATAGATATAGAAACCAATTGTTGTATTTACATTTTAACAACAGTAGAAGTTGACAGACCCTAGGGAACCTTTACTCCTCTGTAGCCCACTAAGTGCCAGGAAATATCCCTCACCATCAGCCATTATCTCTTAAATAATCCATACACTTAAGAACCTCACCTTAGATGAAAAAGGAGAATAAAAAGAAAAAAGAAATTATAATGTTCTACTTACTCTTCAATGGCCCCAAATCAGTATTTTTTAAAAGTCAACGTATATCGAGTGCTCCGAGACACGTCAGCCTGTATTTTATATTTTCCCAATATTCTAATGTCCTTAAGCTCATATTAAGGTTAAATTTGCAAAGTTATACTGTAGAACCTGATTATCGTATTAAATATATCTGAAGGATATCAAACATCACTGAAGGAATAAATGTAAACTGAAGTTGATTATGGTTTTTACAACACTAAACATTCCTTAAAACAAAAAGTTCAAAATGGGCCCCAGGTATTTTTATTGAAAAACAAATTTAATCTAGAACTATTTTAATTTCCATTAAAGAGTACAATCCTGTTTTCATTATATAGTTTACTTAAAAATAGCATGGCCATCATTCCTCTTTTTTCTGGTTCCAAAATGCAGTATTTGAGGGCTTCTCATATTCTATCTTTGTCATCCCTAATTACTGCATGTATTTCAGTAAAATCAGTAATAGATAATTTTAATAATATTATTATACCGTGTATTACTAATAAATTCATTGGTTCCAAATTCCATACTCATTTATTACATGATAAAGGGTATGGTTTAATTAAACTATAAAATATGTTTAAAATATGCAATACATAAGCCACCTGAGCTAATAATTCAGTTTGCTCATAATGATCCTGATTTCCAATTCTCCTAATATAGTCACAAGAATGGGATGAATGAATCCTTTACTCCAGCTCTGGGAGAAGATAATGGTATTCCCACAATTTTCCCACTGATGAATCTTGCATACTTAATTTTATCACTACAGTATATCTACTGAATATATCCCATTGTTGAAAGAGTTATAGGGGGAGGTCAGGGAGAGATAACATGGGGAGAAATGCCAGATGTAGGTGATAGGGGATGGAGGCAGCAAGCCACATTGCCATGTGTGTACCTATGCAACAATCCTGCTTGATCTGCACATGTACCCCAGAACCTAAAGTACAATTTTTTAAAAATTACATAATTATAACCGAAGTAAAGCATGCTGGTTCTATCTACTGTACTTAGGTTTAAATGTGTTGACTTTTCTGTATCTTTAGATTAAGTGAAACTTTTATCTTTTCCTAAAACATGGATATTAAAATCTCTATCAGAATTTTGATACTAATAACCAAATAAATTAATAACTTTCAAAACAGTGAAAGCTCTTTACATCTATAGCATTAAACATGGTATATTCAAGGTTTTTCAAAAGGACAACAAAGGTAATGAACTTTAACAGACATTGCTAGCATAGAGTAGTCAAAAGTCTTTGAGGTTTCTTCCGCATTAACGCTTTCTCACTGTAAGCTTGTCTTTGCTGTCATTACTTCTCTGGCATTTATATTGGGGAAATTGAGAAAATGAGCCTCAATGACAGAGGTTCTCATGCTCACCTACTCTCACGTAACTCCATCAATGCCCTTTGTTCCTAAAACCTTCTTATAAATAAATTATATTTACACATTACATATAAAATATACAAAAAGAAACATTTTTAAATCATTCTATTTAAATATAATGATAAATTATATTTTTTAATTATTTCAGATAGTTTTCAAATATATTTCAAAAGAAGGAACAGTTCAAACTTTCACTAAGGAGTTACTTGCAAAGCAATGCTGATTATGTTAAACAGTCACTTGGGAAGAAAAAAACATAAGGATTAGTCTCAGCAACAATTATGTTGATGCTTCCCAAGGCTTTTTTTAAATAAATAAATTAATATGAAAAAAAAGCACAAATGTACCTCACAAATAACATGGGAGAAAAAAGCACAAATGTACCTCAAAAATATGGGGGAAAAACACAAATGTTAAATTGTTTCTCAAATAAGAGGTTCAGAATTCCATGTTTCTTTGCCCTCGTATAAACTGAGTACATAATCCATTATTTAAGATAACAAAGCTCATGGAGAACATTTAAAGGTAGATTCATGCAGTCGAGTATTATTTCAAGTAATGCCTTATCATCATGTGCTTCCAGCTGCAAATGAACTGAAAAATAACATCCTGAAAGCTACAGAAAAGATTAATAAGCTAATGATTCCCCAAAAGGGAAAGAATATGCATAAATAGCAGTGGGATGGAAGCTCTAGATAAGGATTCTGTAATATGCACTCTGAGTTATTATTTGAGAAACCACACTGTCAGCATACATTTCATCATGTTAAGAATAAGCAACAGGTGGTTCACGGGTAAAACATGATAGCGTTTATCTGCTCCATGCCCTGCAGAAGTCATCTTTACAGAAATGTAACTGTCTTACTAAAATGGTAATACTCAAACCTGATGAAAGTTTTTCCAGTACATCAGTATTATATTTTTAGGTATTGCATATACTTCAAAGCAAATATTTGCTTACAATGTATCAGTAAATCCTTTTGAAAATGTATGTACAATTTTGATGGACTTTTTCCTTGAGATCAGAGAAGAATATCTGAAAATGATATAGCAATAGAATACTGTCTCTACAGAAATTGACTGCATAAATTTTAGCATATTTAGTTCTATATAGACAACTCAGCTTGTCTCAATAGTTTAAATCAAACAAATTCACAAACCATCCAAGTCACTCAATAATTCAATAAACTAATTTGAATAAAGTAAGAATACAAAGTACTCAAAATTTAAAATACAATTTAGAGAAGAAAGCTTTTATCTCCGCTCCTGGTGAAGGTATTATAATTGTACTCCTACAATTCTCCCACTGAGGAATCTTTTGTAGTTGATTTTATCACTATCAAACAGAGCTAAACAAAGAAACAAACAAAAAGAAAAAAACAAATAGAAAACAGCATGCAACCAGTATCCGCTAGACATATCCCATGGTTGAAAGGGGTTTCAAAAATTCATTTCTAAAAGATTTTCAAGCAGCCATTAGATAATGAAATGCCGTAATATGAAACTGTTCAAATACTTATAAAATGTTCAATATGTTTTTGCCAAATGAGGGCATGATAAACCAATTCTCTTTAGGTATAGGAATATCTCACTTGCTTGCTTTTTTCCTTGTACTCAATATAAGTATAAACTTAAAGATGCAAAAGTTATGCTTTTATAAGGGCATTTATTTATCAATAAAATGATGCTTAAGCTTTGTTCATAAAGTATGTAGGCAAAGTTCTCTATTAAATATTCCCAATCAACTGGCTACAGCAAATGTTAAAGTAAGCATGAGCGTTTCTTCAGGAATCGCTCTGCTAGGTTTGGCTGTCAGCTACCTCCTGGAGAGTCTGAGAGAATGGGTTAGGGGAGGCCGGACGGAGCTCGCTCAGGCTCGGATTTATTTTCCCTAGTGGTGCCCAAGTCAGAGCTGATGGCAGAAGTTAACCCATCATCTCCAGGTAGTGCACTGCAGATGGACTTCACGAGAAATTACCTTCAGTGTCACGTGAAGGACTGGCCATGTGCCTATGAACCTGTCCCGCTCCAGGCCAATTGGGCTGGGGACGGGGACCCACCATCAGGGCGGCCTCTTCCTGGGACCACCGAGTTCAAGGCTTCCACGTAGGCGGCTCTCACAGGGCTCAGCTCACATCAAGTGAGGAAAATAAGGACTGGCTTCGGGGGTCTGAACCTCGCTCCCCCTTAATCTCGGTGGTGAAAACACGGGGGGGGACGGGGGGTTTAAGGTTTAAGCCCTTCATGGCTGTCACGGACCCCCGCCCACGCACGCACTCCCCGAAGACCTCAGGTCACCGATCCATGTTGGAATAAAGCGAAATTAAAGTGCATTACGAAGTGCTGTGGATTAAAGTCACACCGAAGTGTAAACCTGGCCGACACTTTAGGTCATCGGGAGCAGTTCAACGAGCGCCAGCTGGGGCCGCCACACACCCTACCGCCCGCGTGGCTTTTAGAAACCTTCCCTCAAATTCCTTAACGGATCATTAGTGAAGGGATCGATCCCAGGGGCTTTCACAGCGACACCGAGCACTGGCACCCGGGTCGGCGACGCCTCTGGGAAGTGCGGAGGGAGCGCCGCGCTTTCAGCCTCTGTGGAAGGAGGGCCAGGAGAGAGCTGGCGGTACCCGAACTCGGGGCGGGAGGAGGAGGCGGGACCCGGCGGGACTCTGCGGGACCCGAGCTAAGGGCGGAGGAGGGGCGGGACCCGGTGGGACCCATTGAGACCCGAGCCTGGCGCCTCCGAGATACAGCCCGGCAGCCGGACCGGAGAGGCCGCGAGCCGCGAAGCACCCCCGCCGCGCGCCCCGGAGCCCCCTCCCCGGTGCTCGGAACCGCCCCCCCGCACTCAAGCGGCACTCACGTCTCGGAATTTGTTCCAGCGCCCGGCTTCCTTGTCGTACTGCGAGACCGTGCTGAGCCACTGCTGGTCATCCAGGAAATTGCCGCCGTCCGAGCGCCCCCCGCCCGCGATCCCCGCGGCGGCCAGAGCCTGACTGCACCAGGCGGCGGCGCACACGCACAGCACTGCTGGGACCCGCAGCATCTGGGGGGACACGGGGAGCGTTAGCGTCGGCGAGGGGCAAGGCCGGGGCCCGGGGAGCTGGGCGAGCCGCGGGGGTGCGGGGGAGACCGGCTGAGGCCGCGCGTCCCTCCCTGCAGGCTGTGCCCCCACGGCCCCGCGCACACGCTCAGCAGACCCGGGAGGAGGGCGGCTGGTGAGGTCGAAGACCCGGGAGGAGGGCGCTGGGTTAGGAGAAAGACCCGAGAAGAGGTGGGGTGAGGAGGGCGGCGGGTGAGGACAGAGACCCGGGAGGAGGGCGCTAGTTGGGGAGGGAGCCCCGGGAGGAGGGCGACGGGTGAGGAAGGAGACCCGGGAGGAGGGTGATGGGGTGAGAACGGAGCCCCAGCTCCAGCCCCAGCCCCGCCGCCAGGGCGCCCCGCCACTGCCCCGCACCTCACCTTGTCGGGAGCCCCACGGCGCCCGCCGCTCCTGCGGAAGCGCAGCCTGGCTCTGCCAACTCGCCGCGCTCCAGAGCCGCACGCGCCGCTGTGTCAAGCCGTCCACTCCGTTCCCTCCCCGGCGCCCCCCCGCCCCACGCGGAGCTCCGCTCATTTCCCCCGCCCCTTCTCCCCCTCCTCCTCCTCCTCCCCCTCCCGTCCCACCTTCCTCGCGCGGGATCCGCGGCAGGACGCTCGGCTGGAACCTGAGGATGAGGTGGCTGCGCGCCTGAGAATCTGGACCCGTTCTACACCCCTCCCCCTCCTGAGAGGGGCTCGCGTGGGAGCCGCCCGCCCACCCCGCGCCCGGGAGGAACACGGCGCGCCACCTCTTGCGGCGGCTCTGCTACAGTCTCGGGTGCACAGGCCGGCGCGAGAAAGAGGAAGGAGAGCTGAGGAAAACTTCCTGGGTCCACAGACTCGAATCCCCGAGCTTCCAGCCCTGATGGCCTTCTGCACCCAGCTCCGCCCTCCAGCAACGCCGGATACCCAGGAGGTCTGGGGAGAACTCTTTAATTTCAGAAAATTTAAAGTTTGTGTGAAATTCCGGATTATTACCGAAAGCGAAGTTTCGTGTTAAAGGTGGCAGTTTCTTGTTTTGTTTTTTCTTTCTTTCTTTCTTTCATTTTTTAAAGAGAGAAGCATCACCAGGTAAGGCGTTGAAGAACACCTGTATCTCCCACATACTCTATCTGTATTTTTCCCTTTATAAAAACTCCCTGGCAACTGCACTTTACAATCAGAAACTTTTAAAGCCTACTGTCTCCTTCCTGCAAAACCAGAAGAGAGTTTGGAAGCCCGAACACCAGTTCTGTATTCCATTGTTCATTTATGACAAAATATTGGCTTTCCATGTCTTTTCGACGTGCTCTAAATAAACTGGGAGGAAATCAGTGTTTAGCCCCCTGTAGAGAGAATCTGATACAGAGAACCTCTCATATTTAGAGGATTTAGGGGACGTGAATATTTCACGTAAATCAACAAATGTCTGCAAGCCAATAGACTGCGATAATGTTCTGTATCACTATTTGAATTATTAAAGATTTCAGCCAAAACTACATCTCCCAAAGTTATGACCTTTGAAAATTTCTAGTAGCCTCCAAAACTTAAGAAGATATTTGAATAGTAGCAGTACACTTTAGTGTTTGGAGGCTACTAGAAATTTAGACTAGATTGATACAGTGATACAGTATTTACTGTACAATGATTAATATTAATTTCTATTTTTAATGTAATATTTCCAAATGAACATATAATACGTATGGTAGGAAATATGCATGTAATATTTGCATAGGAAAGAAATTACTATTTTTAACTTAGAAAAAAAGATACTTTCCTCAATTGCCCCCATTTCTACTGTGATGAATGGAGAAAAAGCACAGAACTTACTATTGCAATTCATGGGAGCCCTGATTGACACAAACAAATGTCAGAAAACTCTAAGAATGTAGATGTATGCTAATTCTTCAAAGATATTTATTTTAGCCTATCCACAGAGGGTCGTGGCCTTGAAGTTGCCATATTTAAATTCTTGTTTACTACATTTATTAAGACAGTAGTAGTGGTGGTCCATCCTCCACTATCACCGTTTTCTGACCCCCTGGTCCTTTCACCTCCCACACTCTCACCCTTAGCTCTCTACCTCAGAATTTGGAATACTTTCTTCTTAATATCTCATTATGGTTTATAACCTCATTATTTCTAAATTGAAATCTAATAGGGGAAGCACAGAAATTGCTTCTTATGAGAAACTGAAATGCGGCAGAAGTCAATAATTTTAAAAGTAAAAATGACCTTCAAACCTTTGTAACTTACCTTTAAAAAAGTCGCTATTAGCTAGAAAATATTTGCTGAGGAATGATCCTCAAACACTCATCCCCTTCAGCATCTGCCATACATTTTAGCTCAGTAATTGCGACCATCTAAGCCCAACATGGTCACCTTTAGATTTTTGGAAGCACATATGTTAATACCACATCCCTTCCCCGCCCCCCCCCCCAGTACATCTATTTTGTGGCTGACTCTCTAATATTCATAGCTTGTTTTCACATCTGACTTTCACTGGCAGCTTCCCATACTGCATCTCCACAGGGACTTCACCAAGTTGTGAAATTTGTTGAAAAACAAATAATGACAGTTGAATGCATCTTGGGAGAAAAGGCTTTGATAGGGTCTTAAACTCCATGTCTGATGATAGAGTAGGATTCACCAGCAAACTGCAAGTTTAAAATTCTAAAGTGGAAAGAGGCAGAGTGCACCTGTCTACAGTGTGTTTTTGTTGGCCTGGTGTGGTTCAGTCATGCTCATGCTTCTACAGCTCCTTAAGCTTCTCTTTTTAAGCCACTGTCATCTTCTAGGTTAAGTCACTAGGCACCTTGGTAGTGAGAGTCAAAGTGTAATAGGTGTGACGTTGTGATGTTATTAATCACAGGGAAAGCTTTCTGTCAGTTTCTCTATACATCAACATTTGGGTCCTCAAACAGCCTGCTTTCAAGGTTTAAATAATCCTAGGGGAATTCACACTTCAGTTAACACTTGTGGTTATCAGTTATCACCTTAGTGGGGATTCACTGAAAGCTTGCTGAGAGCAAAACACAGCAGGGAAAAATAAGGAAAGAGGATTAGGTGGGAGGTAAGATATTGGAAGAGTAGTCAGGAACTTTGCAAGTCAACGGAGGTGAGTAGACAGGAAATACTTCACTGAGTACTTCTCAGTTTGATGGAGAGCCAGTTTAAGAAACTGGAGAAGCCATAAAAGCAGAAAGCAGGGTGCAGCATTGGAGATAGGTAGAGTGAGACACTGGGTCCATGGCCAGGACTTGATTTTATTTTTCTGATCATGGTTTACAAAATTGGAACTCACAGCAGGGCACAGGTCTTCAAATTCCCAGCCCCTTTGTGTCACTCAGCCACCTCATGCAGAATCAAAGTTTAGATATGAAAAGCCAGTACTGGTGCCACTGCTAGATTGAACTTTGCCTTCATATTTGTTTAGTTGTCCCTTTCTTTCTCTACTAAACGTTCAGTAAATCAGTCCAAAATTATCTATTATCAAAGATATAAAGAATATTTTTGATAGGTATTATTTTAATTCATTTCTTCTGTAGGTTTCCTTACCCTCATTTTCAGACTTTGCCACAGCTCTAGAAAGAAAAATGCTAAGCATATATAATGACAGCTGGTCCATTTCTAACCACCTTTGAGGTTGGATCTGTGAAGACCTTAATATAACACCATTTAAATGCATGCACATACAAGCATGTGCACAAACGTGCATGCACATACACAGAGCTGTCTTTCATAGGATTTTTTTTGCAGTGAGTATGAAAGCATGCTACTCTGTTATCTGTAACCAACATGAGAATATGTAGGAAGGGTCCAATTTATTGCACATCTTCCATGTGCCAGACACAGAGCCATTCTTCACTGCCTGCCTAAGATCCCATAGCTAGTAAGTGCAAAGGAAAGTTCTGGAGAATGATCAAGCTACATTGTTTTTAGATATTTTTTTCACCATCTAGAAATATCTCTGAATCATTTTCTGTTTATGTTTTTTAATTCTACTGCCCCCATATCTTTCCTTCTCCACCTGTTGCATAATTATTTATCTCTGTTTCAGTAAAAGCTAGAACTCATCTATAATTAAAGGCAGGAAAAGAGAGAATGGCTACATCAGGGAGCTTACTAAGCTAGGAAGAAGCAGCTGCACTTGTGTAATGAACACCTTAGTCCCTGACTCAAATGATGACCCTGTCCACTGGAATCTTTCATCTCAGCAGCATCCAGCCAGTAGCCTGGCAGGCAATCCAACTGGACTGAGAAGGGAATTAACCAAGAGTGTCTGTGTGTTGATCCTTATTGCAAAAGTGTTTGCCAATCAAGCAGATGTTGTTTGTCTTCTCTGTAGGAAGACATTCTTCCCATCACCTTCCCAGCTGATGGAAGATATGGAGACATTTGCATTAAAGGACTTCCAAGTGTCTGACTTCACCCAAAGCTGTAGTTTAATGATGGATGAGTTAACCTAAAAACAAAAATTTGGCCATTTCTTAAACATTTCATTATAAGGCTAGGGAAACAGTACCTGATCTGTAAAAGTCAACCATCTAGAATGGTGTCTTATACCAAATCCATCTGTGAGCTTAAATTAAGCATATAAAAGAGAAAAAAATAAAGCAAAAACCTGGATATTAAAGACTCACGAGTAAATTAAAGACAATATAAAATGATGTCAAGAAGGAACATTCTGTGTCTTCAATTGGGAATTGTATTTACTGAAGCCTTGTAAGTCTTAAAAATATTAATTTAATAGAAAATAGCAGCAACTACTAATGTTTGCATTGAGGAAATCAAAAACAAACAAGAAAAACAGAATGGAGGGCCTGGAGCAGTGGCTCACAGCTGTTCTCCCAGCACTTTGGAAGGCCGAGGCCGGCGTATCACCTGAGGTCAGGAGTTCAAAACCAGCCTGGCCAATATGGCAAAGCCCCGTCTCTACTAAAAATACAAAAAATTAGCTGCCGGGCACAGTGGCAGGTGCCTATAATCCCAGCTTCTCATGAAGCTCGGGGAGGAGGAGAATCACTTGAACCCAGGAGGAAGAGGTTGCAGTGAGCTGAGATTGCCCTCCAGCCTGGGTGACAGAGCAAGACTCTATCTCAAAAAAAAGAAAAAAAATTCAGAATGAAATTTCTAGAATAGGATGTTTACAGGCTTTTGTTGTTATTTGTTTGTGTTTTTAGAGATGAATCCACTTAAGTAAACTTAGACAATATTAGATACCTAATTTGATAAACGGGCCCTCTTGTGATTTAACTTAATCTAAAACATTCTGTAAATAAACTGACTTTAACAGCTGGAGTAGATATTGGAAGCACATCAGTCAGTTCAATTACTGTAATTCTTAAAAGTATTTTTCAACATTTAAACCATAGGGTGAATCTGATTGAATTAATTGATTACTAAGTATATGATACTGGAAAACGGCAAGACAATTAAAATTTGTTTTTTGTTTAGATTGAGATATATTGACTTTGTAAAATAAAGACTTTTTAAAAAATTTCAATGAGCATTAATTAGAAATACTTAAATTTTTATATGAGGTACTGACACCAAAAAGGATAAAATAAAATGTTTAAGAATAGTTTTAAAATAATTTCACTCTATGCTCATGAACAGAAATACATATATTCTTAAGGCCATTAAATTTAAAAACTTGCATGTGAAAAAGATTTCTAGAAACACTTCGGCTCTATAGATTTACACCAATGTGGTTTTAAAATTTTGTGAGACCTGCATATTTATTAATTTAATAATCTTAATATAAGAATATATGTGGAGCCAGTTTATTCTTTGACTCAGAATTCTACTTGTCCTGGTAAAGCATACTGTTCTAAAATGGATATAGAGTCTCTAAGTCAGGACTGACAAAGAACCTTTTATGTTTATCTTTGTAAGTTGTTTGTTTATTGTTAGCTAACTAGTGCAAAATAGGCATTATATATCATTCTCTGTTAAATTGCCATGGGCTAGCTGTTTCAGAAGACAAAAACTATTCCAAGTGCCATTGCAAATTCTTGCCACTTATTTCTGTCCTCTTGGGTAAATGGACAGTTCCCTTAATGTGAGGCAGTCATACTAAAAATGAATATAAGGTTATAATTACTGTTTGTACATACTGTGCCAAGCATCCTGTTCTCTACAAGATAACTGAAAGTAAAGAAAGGAACTAAAAATTAAACTAAAATGTGAAACAGTTTTTAAATATGTTTACTCATTGTTCTCTAAATGGTATGCTGTAAGCTTCAAACTGGGGCTAAAAATATCTAAGTTGCTATATTATCTCTCAAACTCTTGTGAGAAAAAAACACATAAATTAATAATTTAATTAGAGTATGATGAGTGAAGATAGGTAATATATGAAACAGGTTTCTTCCTGAACTAATATGAGGGCACTGAAATCTGAATGTATTGTCACATATAAATAAAAAGTTGAAAGGTAAGGCTTGACCTCAGACAAACAGCTCAAAGCTAGTGATCTTTCCCATCATCTGTCAGTTTCAGTCAATGGACTTTATAACATGAAACTCCAACCCTCCAAATTCAGGTGTCTTAAACAATGGCACAATTCTTCCACATCTCACATTATGGAGTATCACTTACATATCTCACATTATGGAAAACGGACAGATTCTTTTCCTAAAATTCATTCACAAGAAAAGGAGAGTTCCTCCACCTTGGAAGCTTTAACAGTTCTGACCTTGAATCATATTGGTTTTCATTTGGTTACACGTCCAACCCTGAACTAATCCCTGGTGACAAGGGGGATGAGAAGTGGACAATGGTAACCCAACTCTCAAGCAGTGATAGGAAGCAGTTACTACCAAATCTTTGATTTGTAAGTCTGAGAGGACCTAGTTCTCCAAAGGGCATTTTTTTCACCAATGGCAGGATCAAGGATGGCAAATGTAACAGATTCTACCAGAGACTTGCAGGGGATGCTGTGGGAGCAAAGAAATGAGCCATTTAAGAGACAAGATGTGAACCTTGAAAAATGAGAGTTACTAGGAAAAATGTAAAAATAATATGTCTTGTGGAGGGAGGAAGATGGGTAAAATCAGAGAGCTGTGAAATAACATGATGTTCACATTAATATTGGTTTTTCTTACCTTAAACATTAGTACATAGACACAAGTAGAGTGTATAACACTAAGTGAAAAGTCAAAGCAAAAAAAAACTCTCTTAAAATGCATTTTGAAGTGTTTCTCAAACTAATATGCCTCACTTAGCAGCATGAAAAGCTTTCCAGTGCTCACTGATGCTCAGAGAATTCTCCTGTGAATCAAGCAAATTCTTGTCTTCCTTTTTAGAACATAATGACACTTGGGATAACACAGATCCATAATGCAAACTCCTCTTTTTTTAATAAGTAAAATATTTTTGCTCTTAAAATGTTTTAAACAAGCAACATTAATTTAAATGATTTGTTCTTCTAATCAAGCTCTGGGCTGCAATCAGCAATGACAGCTCAATTTATTTTGGGTTGTACTCTGAATTGAGGTATTTTTCTTAACATTTTAAAGGCGATTTAAAAACAAATGTCATCTTTTCCTTGGTATAGGAACTATTCAAATTATATATTTCATCTTGGCTTGGTAGTGGGTAGATTTAAAGGAACTGATTAATTTCTTCTAAATCTTGGAACTTATGAATATAAAGTTATTTGTACCATTCTCTTCATATCTTTCTTCTGGCTGCAGGATCTGTAGTAATAGCTTCTGTTTTATTACCAAGATTGGTGATTTGTTTCTTCATCTAATTTTTGTTGGTCTTGCTAGAGGTTTATGACTTTTGTTAGTTTTTTGATGAATTAACTTTTTGTTTTGTTGATTTTTCTCTATTAGTAGATTGGTACAAAAGTGACTGCAGTTTTTTTCATTACCTTTAATGATGTTTAGTGACAAAAACCACAATTGCTTTTGCGCCAAACTAAAATATTTGTGGTTTCAATTTTATTTATTTATTTATTTCATATATTTATTATTTTCTTCCTTCTGCCTGTCTGGGGCTATTTTGCTCTTTATTTCTTAATGTCTTAAGGTAAGAAATTAGATTATGAATTTAGGAATTTTCTTCTTTCCTGATTATAAGCATTTTATGTAACAAATTTTCCTCTTTGAACTACCTTAGTTTCACTCCACATATTTTTATGTATTTTATGTTCATTTTTTTTCAGTTCAATGGATTTTTGGATTCCTTTCAGAATTCTTCTTTAACATATATGTTTAGAAATGTGTTGTATAATTTCCAAATGTTTGGAGATTTTTACGTTTTTTAGTATTAATTTCTAGTTTTATTCACAATGGTCAGAGAACATATTCTGTATGATTCAATATTTTTAATTGGCTGAGATTTATTTTATGACCAAAGATTTTAGTTATTATACACAAGAAAACGTACATATTTAACTTCTCAGATTGAGGTTTTACCTCTGAACAAAACTTAAAAAATCTTACCTTCATTCCTTACCTTGAACATTCTCTCTACATACATTAGGCACTACATTTAAATGACATTATAATTTTTGCTTCAACCATCAAATATGATTTAACAAACTTATGAAAGCAGAGTCATTTATTTACCCTGCTTTGTGCCCAGTTTAATGTTCTTATTTTCTTTCTGAAGTTCTAAGACTTTTTTGAGTTATCATTTTCTTTCTCTTTAGAAAACTTAAGGTAGGTTTGCTAGTGATTTTTGTTTTTAGTTTTCTTTGATCTGAAAATGTCTTTATTTCTTCTTCATTCGTGAATGATAGTTTCACCATATACAGTATTCATGGTACTTTTATTTTACCACTTGGAAAATGATGGACCCTTTTCTTTTATCCTCCATGATTTCTGTTTTATATGAGAAATCCACTATCATGTGAATTATTATTCTCTGCATAACATAGTCTCTCTCTACAGACAGTTTCAAGATTATTTGCTTTATTTCTCATTTTGGGAAGTTTAGAATGTGTGGGGGTTATATTTCTTTGGTGTCTTGAATTAGTAGGTCAGTGTCTCACAAGATTTGTGAAGTATTTACCCATTATTTTTTTCCAAGTACCTTGTTAGCATTTTTTTCTGAGTCCTCTTCTTTGACTCCAATAAATAAATGTTAGCTCTTTGGTTATTGGTTCATGGCTCACTGACATTCTCTATTTTTTAAATACATTTGATTGATGTGTTCGCTGATTTTCTTTTATTTTCCCCGCCCCTCCCCCCCCGTTTATTTGTATTTATTTTTAAAATGTTACATTTTACATGTTTAAATGTTACATATTTTTTAAATGTTATATTTTTAAAAAAATGCATAGGATAATAACAAGGCGATACATAGAAACAAATTCTCCTTTATGAGCCAAGGCTGTTAAAATACAAGTATTTGAGAAAAATATTTATTAGCATTCAAAGCTATTAGTGACTCACTAAATAATTCTTTATCATTGCGAAATGACTATAGCAATTTTACAAAGCGAAAAACCAAATAATATTAATTTGTTTATAAATTATCAATTACTTCATAATGAACTTCTCGACTTAGTGACTAAAAACAGCAGATATTTTATTGCTCACAGTTCTGTAGCCAGAAATTCAGACAGGGCTTAGCA